GAGAGGAGGCAGAGAGGAGGCAGAGAGGAGGACAGAGGAGGCAGAGAGGAGGACAGAGAGGAGGACAGAGGAGGCAGAGAGGAGGACAGAGGAGGACAGAGAGGAGGCAGAGAGGAGGCAGAGAGGAGGCAGAGAGGAGGACAGAGGAGGACAGAGAGGAGGCAGAGAGGAGGCAGAGAGGAGGACAGAGGAGGCAGAGAGGAGGACAGAGAGGAGGACAGAGGAGGCAGAGAGGAGGACAGAGGAGGACAGAGAGGAGGCAGAGAGGTGGCAGAGAGGAGGACAGAGGAGGCAGAGAGGAGGACAGAGGAGGACAGAGAGGAGGACAGAGAGGAGGCAGAGAGGAGGACAGAGGAGGCAGAGAGGAGGACAGAGAGGAGGCAGAGAGGAGGACAGAGAGGAGGACAGAGAGGAGGACAGAGAGGAGGACAGAGGAGGACAGAGAGGAGGACAGAGGAGGACAGAGAGGAGGACAGAGAGGAGGCAGAGAGGAGGACAGAGGAGGCAGAGAGGAGGACAGAGGAGGACAGAGAGGAGGACAGAGGAGGACAGAGGAGGACAGAGAGGAGGCAGAGAGGAGGACAGAGAGGAGGACAGGGAGGACGACAGAGAGGACAGAGAGGAGGACGGAGAGGAGGACAGAGAGGAGGACAGAGAGGAGGACAGAGGAGGACAGAGAGGAGAACAGAGGAGGACAGAGAGGAGGACAGAGAGGAGGACAGAGAGGAGGACAGAGGAGGCAGAGAGGAGGACAGAGGAGGACAGAGGAGGACAGAGAGGAGGACAGAGAGGAGGACAGAGAGGAGGACAGAGGAGGACAGAGGAGGACAGAGGAGGACGACGATCAAAAATCTGAGTTCTTCACAGGATGAAGTTAGAGAACTACAAAGTAAAGTACGTCCAGCAGAACGTCCTCTGTTCTTCAGTTTATTGTGACAGAACTCGTGGGATTAAATAATCCCTAAAGGCCTCACCTGTTTCTCAGGTGACAGACCAGACACGGCCATGTAGGTGCTACCGATGGTCTTGATCTTCTCGATGTCCTGGAACCGGTCCTCACCCAGCAGCTGAGACAGGACACATTTAAAAATTCAGAAAGAAGGAGGTTCTGATGGACAGTGGACAAGTTTCAAAGAGTCCCTGCAGCTCTGCTCTCCACGCTCCTCACCTCATCGAAGTCCGCGATGATCTCGTTGAGGAGCCGCAGACACTCCACTCCCTGGTTGTTCATCTCGGTCTGGGAGTAAAAGTCGGCGAAGCCCGGGATGGAGGCGAACATGACGCCCACGGCGTCGTAGGACTGGGAGTACAGCTCCTGCAGGGGACAGAACGGAGACCGTCATCGGTTTGTCCTGAAACGTCACAGAAACCAGGAGTCCTGCTGTGTTTTCATCAGARGTTTGATTTAAAACCAGCACTGCACTGGTCAGCAGTCTGAAACCACACCAGGACCAGGACCTTCCACAGACCTCTCCCAGGTTGGACAGGTGGATCAGGACTCTCTGGACCTTAYAGTCCATCACAGTTTGAACGTTTATCAAACATTCTTATTATTCAGATCATTTTCTTTATTCTACACGTTTTTCAGCACCTTTCTCGTTCATAACTTTTGTTTTATTTCAACAGTTCATCAAAACGTTCGGCTCTTCCAGGACCTTCAGCTGATGACTTGTTATTTCACCAACTTGTACTTTATGGAACTGAGTTTTTTCTGCCTCGTTTTTATCACTGAACATGAATTTCTGTTTTCAACATCCTTAAAAMGCTTTAAAARCTTTATAAATCTTAAGGTTGTGTATTGGKAAGAATTTGGCGATACGATACATATCATGACAGAGGGGTCACGATACGATATATCGCGATATATTGCGATATTTTTGTTCAAAAATTCTATTAAATAAAAACCTCTTACTGGGAAAAAAAATGAAAAAAAGAGTTTTATGTCACGGGGGGAGTGCCGAGCTCGAGACACTAGACACATGCGTTATATGTGCATGCCTGCCTGCCTGCCTGCCTG